TTCCTCTGTGTTCAGCAGTGAAGAAGAGCACCACACCAACAAAACTTAGCCCAAAATCTGACAGAAGTCACTGGCCTCATCTGAAAGCAGCTGCGAGTGTCAGTGCTGTCCGTGTGGGCTGTGACCATGCTCCCCTGGACAAACCTTCCCTCACACATTAACACCTAGGTTTTCTCCCAGAGCAGGATCCCAAGCCTCCTGGATTCCTCACACAGCAGAGTTCTTGTGAAACTCCTGAAAGGTCCTACCTGTAGGTGTATGGTCCTATTTCCTCCACGAGAGGAGTGGCGCCTTGGAGCACTTCCAAAGGATTTGTCACATTGAAGAAGTAGAACTGCATGTAGACTGGGGGAGGAGGGTCCTCCCAGGCCTCAAAGGTTTCTGTGCCATTCTTCAAGACTGTTCCCTGAAACAAGAGAAAGGCACATGAGCTGCTAATGCTATCATGCTTCATGGTACTGACAGGAGAGAGAGGAATTCCATGCCCTGGGAATGAGCACAGGGAGTTAGACTCCAGAGAGACCCCAGTTCTAGGTTTGCTTCACTTTGGAGCAGCTCACTCAATATCAGCCAGCCCAGGCACCTGCTCTCCTGGCCACAGGCCAGGGACAGCCCTGCTTGGTTTGTAGTTCCCTGTCTCCCCACAGACAATTGTGCCTGACATTTTTCACAAGGGAGACTGATCTGCTATTACTCAGCAATCCTGTCTCCTTCCCTGCATCAGTAAAACCCTCCATGTGGTGCAAGACACCACAGAACGTGGCAACATTACAGATAAAACTACAACTCAATGTTGGGAGGCCAAAAGAGTCCTGGCCTCAGTGATTTCTTTGCCCAAGAATGTCAGATGCCAACACAGCTGTGAGATTCTGTCTTCCAAGCAATTAGACTTTGTTTTTCAGTGGCCTGTGAGCAAAACTGAGAATGACAAACTTCTTTCACACAGGCACTCTAGAATTTGTGCCTTTCCAAGGTCTTGGAATAGGGGAAAGATTGTTTGTCCTCTACCTTTAATTTCTTTCCTACAGCAAAGTCAGCATCAGCAACTCCAGACCCATGGTGTGTCAGTCTATTTGGTAACCAATATTTTATAACAGAAGCACTTAGGAATGTAACACTAATTCCCTTACCTCAGTGATACCCCTTATCAGTCTATACATGTTATATGGAAAGTCACAACCCCACCTGTCATGTAGAGCTCTGCAATAGAGGTCTCACTTTATTACCAACCCATTTTGGATAAAATTCACCCCATCTATAAAGCATCCCCATCATCAAAATCAAGGCTTTTCATGTAGCCACAACTCTGGAACTGCTTCAGTGGCCACACAGAGAAATCTGGCACAAAGTGTGAATGTTCAGGAATAAACACAAAGAAAACTCTATCTTTGAAAACCACATCACCTGTAGGCGGAAGAAAAGGAGGAGGGGAATGATTTGCAATTAAATGGCTCTCATCAACACTCATTCTTCTTATTCTTCTGAGAAAACAAGTGGAATATTGTGAGTGGAAGCTCAGAAGCAGGGCATACTGGACAGCTGCCAGCTCGTGGTCAGTGTTCACAGGGTCTTATCAGCCACACTTGCTTCAGGACTCATTCTTGGCCTTCCCACTTAAGGAGCCATTTTCTCTTCATGTGGACTTTAATTTTGGAGGATGACATAAAGAGAAGACTGTTTCAAAGACAAACTCATTGGCAGGAGCTTGGCACCGCAGCAATAATGCTGAATGGCAGTGTGAGCCAGCCCAGCTGGTGGCACTTTGCACTTACAGCCTGCTTTCCCCATAGGATCAAAACCCATTTATTCTGTGCACACCTCAAAAATTAATGTGTTTCAGACACGCTTGAGGAGCTTGGAGCACTCCTCTGGAACTACCAGCACCTCATATATATGATTTCCTACACAGCCTGATGCTTTTGATCCTGTTTCTCTTATGATTGATGCCAAGGAGACTCATCTCTGTATTCACTGGACATATTAATTGCAGATTTATTTCTTGAATTGCATGACACAATTTGCACCTCCCACAGAAATTGTCTATTTATAGCTCTGTACAGTGACAGCAAACCCAGATTAACAAACTTCTGAGCTAGATTCAGAGAGACTCCCAAAAACTGCCAAATAATCAAACATGTTAAGCTCTTATCTTCTGCTTTTCAGCCTATCTTACCAGGGATATTTTCATCTATCACAGGATATTATAAGGACATCAGGGCTTCTGCTTTCCAAGTGGAGTCCACGCTCATTTCCAGTGTTCCAAAACATCCTTCCTGCTGACTGTAATTATCAGCCAGCCTTGAATCTGCAGCGCTCTCATTTGCTGCCGTTTCCTTGCCTTGACTGTGCTTCACACACAGGAAATAAATAGGGAGCTTTCCCTCCCAACTGTAACAGCTATTGGCAGTGATGGTGGGAGTGGTGGTGGTACTGAATATTTCTGAAAGCTCCACGGAAAATTTAATTCCTTTTTAATTTTATTTCCTGGAACCCCTAAAAGTTTTAATTCAAAGATGCACTTTCATGTGTTCATCTATGACACAGTTTAAATGCAACTTGTTAAGGTGATGGGCTAAGTGTTCAGACCAGCATGAACAGACCTCCCTACTCCTGGAAACTGGGAATGCCCTGCCCCAAAGGAGCATCTCAATGGATCCTTCAGCTAGGCTTTCATACTAAACCCTCCCGAGAGCTCCAGTATTTTGCATTAAACAACAACAGCAAAAAATGATCAATACATCAGCTAAATCAAAGGAGAAAACATCTTCCTCGTCCTTTTGGGCCTGAAATATTCCAGCCAATTCAGCTCAAGAGATGGCTGGCGACAAGTCCAGTGGAATTTCAAGGGGTTTGAAGAGTAAGTGTTTTCTAAAATTCTCAGCCTAAGGGATGTGGCATGAAGGAAACACCCGGGCCAAAGGACTGACTGATTTCCAAGTTTGAAATGAGGAGCATAGCTCCAAGATTGATTGTGTGTGTATGTGCATGTATATATAAAATATTAGGTTGTATTCACAACCTGGACACCTATGGCAATAAATACACCAGCATCTCCTCATGAGAGGGCACAAAGCAACAACACTGGCAGCTGGGAATGCCTTTCTCCTGGAGAAGATTCATACCTGTTCATTCTAGATGTTTTCCCACTAAGCTCCAGAGTATCAGGTGCTAGACCCTGATAACAAACAGGTTTTGGAATTCTGCTTGGGATGGCACATTTAGTTCACAGAAATTAAAAAAAAAAGCAAATAAAGAATAAGTTGATGAGATTTGAATGCCCTCTGGGAAAAGCGCTGCCAATGCTCTTGTCACAACACATCTGCCCACTGATTTCCAAGGGGATGTGAAGTCTGACAGCAGGTTGGATTCCCATTCTTCCCACACCCTGCCTTTGGCTGGAAAGGCTGCTGCACACAGCCCCCTGTGAAAGCAGAGCCATCCTCAGCCACTCACAGGTGCTGGCTTTGGAGACACAGGTGCTTCAGCTATTCCAAAACACGGCTTTCCACTCCAGCTGCACTTGAGACTGCAAAGACAGCCCCTCACTGCGAGGCAGCTCTGCTCCAGGACGCCTGGAAAGCCTTCAAAGGAACAGCGACTCCTTGCAAAAGCTCAGGTCTTGCCCCATTCCAAAGGCAAATCCAAACTGAGATTTGTCTATTTGCACAAGATTTTCTAAGCTACACACGCGGTTACACAAGAGACAGCAGCTTTCCAGACTACACACAAATGAGGGGAAGCTCACGTGGGATAAAGCAGATGTGGAAATCAGCCAGATCAGCAGAGTGGCTGGGAGCACCCTGCTCTGGGGCTGAAAGCTGTGCTTCCCCAGCCTGGGGTGTGTGGCTCCTGCAGAAGGCCCTCAGAGCTGGCAGGGAGCCGGACACCTCATTCCCTGCAATCCAGATGTGTGCCAGCACGAGCTGGAGAGCAGCAGGCAGGAAAAGCCTGAGCTCTGGAAACTTTATCCTGCATTACTGCAAGGCCTGCTGAACGAACACCAAGTTGCTCTTACATAAGTTGCTCCTGGGAAGGAGCAGGCCGGGAGATAATGCGCGTAAGGAGGATCACGCCTAATTCCCGACAGTCCTGCTCCAAAGCACTGCTTCCACCCCACTGCTCTGGCCGTAACAGCAGCAGAACACCTGGAAGTAGAACTTCTGGGACGCAGGGGAGGGCAGACTCCTTCCCAAGGACAGCCAAGATCAGGGGGATGGAGCTGCACTTCCAAGTGACAGAGCCTGGAGTAAGCTCACTGCCAACCTAAAACTGTGCTCGCTAAACCAAACCGATCTGGGACAGCGCAGGTCCCACGGCAGGAAATGCTCCCTGTCAACAGCCCAGAGGAAAGAACAGTAGGTTAGGAGATCACAGATAATCTGGTCACCACTTAGACAACAGCACTGGTCAAATCCCTTCATCGGTTAGCGTTCCTGGCTTCTCTGTCAGGATAAGGACTAAGATGATATTCCTCAGACAGAGAGATAAATAATTGTTCGTTTACAAACAAGAGAGTTACTAACAGAGCTGACCTTTCTCACTGGGCCACTGCAGAAATGCACAGAGCCACTCTGGGAGAGAAACAAAAGCTTAGGCAGGGCAGGAGCAGTGTAGGCCTCTGCATCCACAGCAACGACAGGATGAGTGTCCCCAAGTGTGGAACAACATGGTGAAATGCCTGGCTGCCATCACCCAGCCTGGGGAACCGGCACACAGCGTGTGTTCCAGTGCCTCTGGCCCTGCTCCAGAGACACCAGTAAATGGAGCAGCAGACCAAGTAAGAAAGCTGCATGCAATTTATGACAGAGATGGCAAAAAGAAGGGGTGCTTTAGGTGGCCCCTGCTCCCTTCAGGTGCTGCTGCTCTGGAGAGGGATCCTCCATAAAACTGCTGCCCCAGAGCCAGCAAAGCTCCCTCAAGAAGAGGCATTTTTACCCATCCTCTTCCCGATTTTTACCCAACCCAGGGACCAGTGTAGGCTGAGCTCCATTCTGAGCCCCAGCTCAACCGGGTGGTGCTGGGCGGGGGGGGGAGGTTCACGGCCCAGGGATGCTCCTGCCCACCCACCCACCCACCCACCCACCGCTGCTGCAAGGAGGGAGCCAGCCTCTTCCCTCCCTCCCTCCCTCCCTCGGCTATTTTCAGACAGAACAAACCGGCAAACAAGGACCGAGCCGGCAACGCGGCAATGCTTTTACCTGCTTCACCTGCAGATCCACCACCGTCTGGAAGACGTGCGCGACCAGCAGGGAGATGCTGGCGATGAGCAGCGTCATGGCCAGGACCCCCACGGTGACCAGACACAGCGACTTCATGGCTGCTGCTGCCGCCGCTGCCGAGCAGGCACCGCCGGGGCTCCGCCGGGCTCCGGGGGCGGGCGCGGCGCGGGCCCCGCCCGCAGCGCCGGGAGGGAGGAGCCGCCGCTCCCCCGGGGATGCTTTCCTGCCTCACCGGGGTCGGGACAGCGTATTCCAAAGGAATGGGGGTGGTTCCTGCCCGCAAGGATGCCTGGCATAGCCGGAAGCATCGTGCCCGCTGGGGATGGCGCTGCTGGGGCGACTCGCTCGGCGCGGCGTTCTGGGAAACAAGCGGAGGGATTGCACACCGAGATTACTGCGGGAAGGCTTGAAGGGAGAGTGAAGCGCCTCTGGACTGAATGAGGCATCGCAGGGAGCGGATTCTGCCACAATGCAAGTGCAGTTCAGCTGCCACTAACACAGTTAAACCGCTCTTGAAAAAAAACAAATCACATCAATGTAGCTGCTTTTTCAAAAGCCAGTGGGATGTTCTGCTCCACTTCCCCCCCCATCACTGCCAGCAGGAGGGAGAGACACCTGCAACAGGGGCTTTCCAGCGATTGATGTCATGCCACCCCCTTTGCCCCACGGCCTTCCTGCGGCACTAAAAGGCAGGCAAGCCCTGCGACGCAGCGCTACCATCCCACGTCCCATCAGCAGCACCAGTGTTTCGAGTCAGCTCCCTCTCCAAACCACGAGGCTGGCAGCTGGCCAGCTGCAGCCTGATCCAAGTAATACCTTCCTGAGCAAGAAGGCAAGCGGCCCATCAGGTGGTTTTCCTGCTAGGATGGACTGCAGCATCTTCTCTTAGAAATACTTCTTCCTGTAATTGTGATTACAGCAACAATGTTATGTTAGTATGTGCCCTTTTGGATATTTTTGCTTATGAAAGGTTCTGAGGTCACATGTCACAGCTGTTTGGAAAAACAGGATTTTTGTGGTTCCACCCATGCAGTTGAAAAAGGGAGAAAAAAAAAAAAAAAGGAAAAACGGTTGATCTGGTAGCTTTCTTTCATTTCAATTCTCATTCCAGAGTGGTGTTCTCAGCCCTGTTTCACCATCATTTCTCCAAAAACCAAGAACCAGAATACATAATTAGACTCTGGTTTTGAAGGCTAACTTAACTACAGCAATAAAACTTTCCCCTTAGAAAGACTCTTCCGTGGGAATTCTTTCTCTGAAACCATAAACCTTCCTTCCCACTGTAAAATACTGTAGCTGAACCTTGCACAGATATTTATAGATCAAGTAGAGATTCCTACAGAATTTTGGGTTTGATTAATTCAGCTTTTTGGATTTTTCCATAAAAATCTACTTATGTGATGCATAGAAGCACATTGTTTCTCCACATGGATTTTCTAGATCCTCAGAGTGAATTATTTTCTTTTATTTTGGCAAGTCATTTCACTTTTGGAAGCCTCGGAAGAAGGCATGATACACTGCAAACACTCCAGTGAGGAGTGGCTCCACCTCTGGGGTGCAGCCTGGGAATGCAGTAGGTGCACTGCTGGCTCAGGGCACAATCTTGTGTCCTAATTACGGATCCCTGAAACAAGCAGGGGCACATCTTCCCTTTGCAGCATCATGGTGATGTTACTGAGAGAAGAGGCAGACAAGGCCCACACTCTGGAGAGCATGAACACGGTGAAATTGTCCTGTCCTGTGCACTGGGAATATCTTTAATAAACATAAAAAGCCAGATTTGCTGAGGTTGTGATGTGGCTCCTTCAGTTTGTGCAACACCAGGTGCTCAGCTCCTTGGAGTCTATGCAAAGCAGGAAAAGCTTGTAAGGGAAGGAATTAGGAAATCACACAGCACAGTATCAGCCAAATCAGAACAGATCTCAGAAATCCTTAATCTTCCTCCTGTGGTTTAGTAACTGTCAGACTTTTCTCCAGAGGATCTTTGATGCTGCCCACAACGGGGCTGGAACAGCACACAGGAGGGTGGGGTACTGCTCCTTTTCTCTTTGTGTGCATCCCTGGCATTTCACTGATCTCTGGACTTTGACACCTGAGATAGGAATCTAGGAATCCTGCTTGCCCTTACTTAATCACCTGCCACTGCTGACAGACCTGTTCACACCCTGTCTGACTGCACCCGGGCCTTGCTGTGACCTCAGGGCACACCGAGACACCAAACAGCCTCCCCAGGACCCAGTGTAGTTTCACCTCAACGCTGAAAATGCAGCTCTAACTAGAAAAGTGCTTTACCTGATAAACATCTACCAGTTTCTGTCTCATCTTCAATTTGGGTAGGCTTGTCCACTCATCTCCTGCTGCTGTATGATGTTTGCAGTCTGCTTCCCTGTATGGATCTGTGGTACCTGGCTGCCCAGCTCACCTACACGACATAAAACACATTCCAGGGAACACGCAGGTCCTTCCCACTCCCAGTTTGCTGACAAAGGGCCTGTGCTGGCTGCAGTTCCACAGCAAGGGCCAAGGACAGCAGCACAAGCCTCACATGCAGGGCATGCTCCCAGCCCTGGAGGAGCAGATCTTGGGAAACGCCCAAGTGCACCAGTAACACGCAAGGAAAAGCTTTCCAGAGGCTTTGCCCTTCTGTTTTCCCTGCACAGCTCACACATGTCCTTGTCACCAGAGAACTCACACACACTGTGGGTATCTAGTACTCTGTGCTTAATTAATAAAACAACATAATAATATAGATAATAACAATAATAATAATATAACCTAATTATAAAATCCTCATTTCAGCTGAGAGTTGAGACATTTCTGAAAGGTTTCTAACTGGGTGGTGATCACATTTCACTGTCTCCAGCCTCAATTTCTTCTTCCCACAGAGGCAAATTAATTGCTGGCAGGAAAGCAGTTCATTGTAGGGCAGAGCTACGCTGTAATTACTGGGTCCATTGGTGACCTTGGAAAGGGCTGGGAGTAAAGCTGGTGCTTTCTGAAGAGCAGCTTTTGCTCTTGGGTTAGAACACTGCTTGACTTCCAGATTTGGGACAGTGACATCCCAGGAAATGAGACATTTGCCTGCAATAGCACTTATATATCTTCTGAGGCAATTATTACTTTTAACTGTTACGAGATTAGCAGCAAAAATGGTTTTCCCTCTGAAATTTGGGCCTGAACCTCATATTTTTGACACTCCCCAGCTAAATAACCACAGCCCTCATGGATTTTAACCTACTCACACACACCTGTATGTGGTAACTGTGATATAGGCACATTTTATAATCACACACACATAAACATAATCCTCGTAACTTCAGCTGTACCAAAATTAGCAGTGCAGCCACTCACACCCCTCAGCTACTTCTGGCTGTGTCTGCTGCTCCCCTGACTCATCTGCTCGTGCAGCAAGAGCCTCGGGACTCGGTGGTGCCAAGCTGTGCCACCAGGATCACTCCTCTCATGCTTTTCCCAAGCTGAATCTCTCATTCCAAGCACCTCCTGCCCAGCACCGGCACAGAGCAGTGCTGGAGCCCTCCCTGCTGAATCAGGAAATGCCTTCTGGAGTTGGAGGATGCCACCAGTGGCTGTGGAACAGAGACTTTGCTGGGAAAGGCAGGCCAGGAAGCAGCAGGGCCTGCAGTGGGATGGACAGGAGGCTCTGGCAAGTGGCACTGTGTCTAGCTCACATAGGTTTGCTAAGGGCCTGGCTTGCAGTGCCAAGCCCATCTCATCAGTGAAGTTTTACTACCTTAATTCAGGTTTTAGCTTCTGCAATGCAGATTGCAACAGGAAGAATGCTGTCTTTTCAGGTGCTTGATCTGATACTCTTGAGTATTGCCCACAGAGACTGACACAGTTTTCCAGGTCCTCAATTTTCTGTACAGCCCTTGAGGCAGCTCCAGGATGAACCAGGTTTACTTGTTCTGCTGCTGCTGAGTGCTGCAAACACCCCTGGACTACTGGGAACATCCTCTGCACGGCAAGGGATAAACACAGCAGCCAGGGAGGAACCAAAAACGAAGCTGATATGAGCCCATGCTGCTCCCAGCAGTAGAGCAAAGGAGAACCTGACAAAAAAAAAAAAAGCCCGGAGAAATGCAAAATCAGACCAGGACTGTGTTCACTCTGGCATTACAAACAAGCAGACAACCAAGTCCGAATCATCATAAAAATGTGTCTCTGTTTTTGTTCTAGGGAGAGCTCTAAGGAGTGGGCAAGGTTACTGACACACGTGGCTAATAGAGTCAGGTTAGTCAGGCAGACCAGATACTTTATCAGTCACACTCTTCCCCATCAATATCTGACATTGCAGAGCAGAGACTCGACCCTCTAGCCTTGGAAACCTCTCCTGGACATGATAGACATTACAAAGAACCTCTCATTCAAACAGAATCCATGGTGAACATGCACTTTTCCCCCTATAGTATGGCATGCATACCTCCTAAAAAGGGGAGGACTCCAGTCTACAACCCACAGGGATGGATACTCCAGCCCCTGGCCCAGAATCAGGCCCAGGCAGAGAGAGACACCTGTTACATTTATTTGCCCCACTTGGGACTTTGAGTTTCAAGCTGCATCTATTTTTAAGGGAACTGCATGCACTAGGGAGGGCACATTAAAATGGGCAAACCAATGGCACACGTTTCCCTCACCTGAGTCCTGTCCCACAAAAGTGTCACTCCAACATACAGAAGAGAGGGATGCTCCATGGCAGAAACTCCAGGAGTCTCATTTTCATCTTTTTGTAGCCTGTTCTTGACTGCTTTTTGATTTGAAAGAGCTCAAGAGCAGACTCCAGCCCTTAGAAGATCTGCTGCTGCATTAAAGCCTAGATGCACACTACCTCTGCACACAATTTTACTGAGAAAAAGGGGAGGTCTTGCACAGAGAGACAGATATTTTCATGGTGTCTGCTGACTGCTTTTGAGAGAGGCTGCAAACCTACAATCAGTCTGCCTTGTTCTGAGCCTGTCTTATGCCACAGCCTGAGATCTTCCCCCATTCCTGAAGTAAACACAGGGATTGAAGGCTGCAATTAGATGATCTTGCCAGCCTGCATCACATTATGATTTACTTGGGTGATCAACTAACTAATTAAAATCCTGCAGTGTAAGGATCTTCTAGCTAGCAGCACCAGTGGCTCCAGAGCAGCACAGGGGAACTTTAT